CTCCGGAACCATCATCGCCATTCCTCTCCTCCTCCTCCTCCTCCTCCTCCTCCCCTTCCTCCCCTTCCGCCTCTTCCCTTCCTCCGCCTCCTCCTCCTGCTCCTCCTCCTCCTCCTCCCGAAAGCCACCAGGGGACAAACTCGGGGGCGGGAAGCATAGGTCTGCAATCGGCGATACATCGCCGATAGATCGGCGATGCGCCTTCGGGTTGCAAATCCGCATGCTCTCGGGCGTTTTTGTTTTTTATTTCTTATCTTCTCCCTTTCCGCAGGAGACCACCCACCCGCCTCAAAATCATTCGGGCCCGTCCGACTGGCATGTCATGTCGCGTCCCTGCTTTTCGGACGGATGAATTCCGAGTTCGCGTTGGGGACGAGGCGGAGGAAAAGGGGCAAGGGTGCTGTGCGATTGTCCCGCCCAAAAGGTCAATTATTTCATGTTCTTTTGTATGCAACAAAGCAGCGGCAGCCCAGGTGGGAGGAGCGAGGAGGAGAGAGCGGGAGGAAACGCGAACGACAGACAGCAGCGGACAGGGGCGAGCACCTTGATTGAGAAAGTGCCCCACTTTCTATCAACCCAGGGGTGGCAGCGGGGGCGACCAAAAAGGGCGGAGAGAAAAAAGAAACAGCAAGGAAGGCGACGGAGTGGCGATGCGAAGGCAAAGACACGCTCACAACCAGCAGGCTCCACGACTCGCAATGCCCATCGCATGTCGCAAAAGCTTCCACTACGTGCCCATGGATGCACATGTCAAGGCAATAACTGAAGGGGCCCCAGGACACACAAATAAATACACACAAATAAAACTATTCCCCATATTTTCCTATATGTTCTGGGTTTCTGTCTTCCCAACCACTTCCCATATTTTCCCATATTTTCTGGGGAATCGAGGATTAATTGTGTTTGTGTGTTTCTTTTCCTCCTGAATAACAACTGGTTGTGAAATGGCGATGTGCCGAAACCGAGCGGGAAGGGCCGACCAGAGAGGCCCACTCGCCTGTCGCGCGAGCCTGGAGCAACAAAAGCACGATAAGCAGCTCCACCTGCAGCGTGCCATGCAAGAGGACGACGAGGAGGAGGAGGAGGAGGAGGAGGAGGAGGACGAGGAGGAGGAGGAGGAGGAGGAGGAGCAGGAGGACGACGACGAGCCAGGACGACGGCGCATGATCGCCCACTCGAGGCGCCCACCCGCTGGGCCGGCCGTCGGCGCAGCCGCGGGGCCGCTCCTCCGCTCGGCCACGGCATGAGGCCACGCGCACCCCGAGGGGAGAGGATAGAGGGCTCCTAGATGGGGTCGGAGTGGGTGGGGTCGGAGGATCGCGCCGCATCGCACGGCATGAGGCCACGCGCACCCCGAGGGAGAGGGTGGAGGGTTCCTAGATGGGGTCGGAGTGGATGGGGTCAGAGGATCGCGCCGCATCGCCGACACATCGGCGATGTATCGGCGATGCACTGGCGATGCAACGTCGACATCGGCGATGCACCGGCGACGTCGACGCGAAGCAGATCGGGCCAAACAGCGAACCGCATCGGCGATGCATCGGCGATGCGGCGCGATCCTCCGACACCATCTACTCCGACCCCATCTGGGAAGCTTAGAGAGGGGGGGGAGGAGGGCGGGCGAAACAAAAAAGGCGACGGAGGGAGAGGCGGAGGGGACAGGCAGGCTTTGATCCAGAGGCATGTGGATGCCAGTGCCCCGTAGATGATGACGCTTATAGTGGCGAGCTGCAAAGTCGCTGCCCCTCACCCTCCGCTGTCCCGCGTCGCCCCCGGCGTGGCTTCGGGTGTTGCCTGTGTCCCAGTGGTGTTGGCAGGCTCGCCGCAGTCGCACATCGTCCTTGGTGGTTTCGGCTCACATCGGACCTCACATGATTTGAAGTGCCGCAAGTCGAAAGCAATGAGGCACCCGTCCCGTTGGCCTCTGCCCGAGCGCGCCAAAGAGTGCACCTCAAACTGTCCTGTCTTCCAAATCATACCTAGGTCCATCTGCATGCCAAGCATGGTGAAGATGGCCACATTCTCTGTCTTGGCTAACTCCAGCAACTCATCGAGGCGGCCCACTCGGTGCAAGAACTCCGCATTGTAGCTCCAGATCTTGAGTTTGCTGGTTTTGAACCGAGTCGTGGCCGGCGAACTCTCACGTACTTCAGCTGGTGGTTGAGGCAGCTGGGCGATACTGTTCAGCATCTCCATGGGAACCAGCTGCGCGGCCGTGGCACGTGTGTAGCGTCTGACATGATACCACGGCGCTCCTGCCACCACAGCGAGCGAGCCTCACCGCTCGCCTCAGGGCTCGCTTGCCGCGCATGGCCCTTACGCCCTTCTTCCACCAGCACGTGTGTAGACGACCCCAGCGCAGCTGTCCTCGCGGGTCGGGCTGCCCGCGAACGCTCACCTCGCAATGGTCCAGGGATCACTCGCCCCGCCGGGGGGTGCCTGCAGCCGCCATTGCACGGCCGACGGGGGAACGAGAGACTGGCCAGGACACGCGAGCTGGCACGACTGACCGCTGCGTCAGTGGGTGTCTCGAGCCGTCGAGGCTTCGACCTTTGCTTCCGCAGGCCTCTGCCGGCCTTCCGCCAGCTTCCGCCGGCGGATCTGCGCTCGTTTTACTTCCGCCGCCTTCCGCCGACCTTCCGCCGACCGCCGCCGCGGAAGAGATGGTGACTCCTTCGATCCTCGATGGCAAGGCCTTTCTGAAACGTTCCATGTGGGCAAGCGAAGTGGAGTGCTGTATGGGATGGTGCGTTCTGCATCTCATCGTTGGCAGCTGGCGACGGGAAGGCACACTTGGTGGAGCGCTTGGTGCCCCAGGCGTCGCGCCCAGCTCAGAGAGCCTAGTGAATAAGGCACGGCAAGTTCGCGTCGTGCCGACTTCGGCGTTTGCTTCCTGACACCGCGGGGATCAGTCAACCTTGAACGACCGGCCGATTGAGAGACGTCAGATCGTTCAACGTCGACCGGTTCTGGGTCGCCGGCGGAGTTCAACGTTGAACGCTGGCGGAACGCCGGCGGCGGGGTCGCCGCCGGTCAACACGACGCGAACCTACCGTAGCCGGCCCAGCTCCGCGGGGACGGAGGACCACCTGCACCGCCGATTCGTGACGGACGTGGTAGTCCTTCAGCGTACGGGTGTCCACCAACTGGCGTCCAGCGAATAGCAGGCGCCCTAGTCATGAGGGAGGCCCTTTTTGTCCTGGATCTTGGCCTTCACGACATGCATTGCGTCATCGGTCGCCACGCCATTCCTCGTAGTTGTCTTACCCGTTGGCATCCTTCCGGAGACCTGCATGTCCCTGTGAGGATGCTGCTTGTCGCCAGTGTGCTGCGCGTCCACAGTGTGCTGATCGCCCTCGCGGCGCGGATCCTCCGGACATCGATCCAGTCGTGCTGGACGGGGTCGCTCTCGACACAGGTGCTCGTTGAGGGCGTCATGGGGATCGTGGTCGTCGTGCTCGTCGTGGCGGACGCCGTCCTCCTCCTCCTCCTCCTCCTCCTCCTCCTGCTCCCCCTCCTCCTTCCCCTCCTCCTCCTCCTCCTCCTCCTCCTCCTCCTCCTCCTCCTCCTCCTCCTCCTCCCCTTCGTCCTGCAGGTCCTGCTGCTGTTGCCGTCGGTCCTCGTCGCCGCTGTGTGGCTCGAGGCCAGGGCGGGCTTGGCTATCGGGCCCCTATCGGCGATCCGTGGGCGATTGGGGGTCGAGGCGTCCCCCGTGAACCCATCCAACCCCGCCGACCCCCCCTGAAACGACCCCCTGCCTTTTCATGCGAGCAAGCGATGACAAAAACACATCGGGCAGGAGGGATTAAATAAGCACACAGTCGTTTCTCGCCTGGCTCGGTGGCTGCAGCCTGGCGGCCTCGACGGGAACGACGACGACAAGCAGGGAATATCTTTTCAATCCCCAGAAAATCTGGCGCTCCAACCTTGATGATGCGTGGCCCCCCAGGGTCTGGACCAAATCCCCAGGGCCCGCTTTTCGTCCTGACTTGTTCTTTGACGGTCCTGGGGCCCGATGAAGCTGAACGTACCCGCAAATCGGTTCACTTTTTGTCGGCGCGCCGGTTCTCTGGGACCTTGCCCCCGATTCGGTGGCAACTCATGGGGGCCTCCCATGCAATCTTGTTGGTGGCTCTTGCGAGTCGACGTTGGGTCGGCGCCATCTCACCGATTACAAGACGCCGGCCGGCGCTAAAGAGTGAACGAAAATGGTACAGCGGAGGCTAGTCCACAAGAGACCTTCCACAATAAACCCAGCCCTGAGACCCCAGGACGTCCATTGACCCTTGGTGTGGGAACGCCACACCTTCCATCGCACAGCCATCGAAGCCCAAGCAACCCAGGGCACCGTGGAGGCAAGCAAAGTGCTTCTGAGCACGGGCCCCCCTTGCACTCAAGGCTCCCAAGATTTGCTCGGGCCGGGCAAAAAGGGGGATAGCAAAGGGGGGGGTTGAGAATCAGCTCGCGCAGCTGATTTTCCCGGCGCCTCCCGGCGCCGGAAGCGGCTATGCATCGAGGAATGGGCCCCTCGGTGAGGCCGAAACCAGCTGCATGCAGCAAATTTCTTAACCCCCCCCTTTCCCAACCCCCCCCTTTCGGGAGCGGCCAAAAGGGAGGTGTCCAAGAGGGGGGGGGTGCAAATCATGACCGGCGGCACGTGCGCGGCCCAGCGGGGGGGCCTGGGACGTAATGAAACAAGAGGAGGCGCCATGAAACCTGGGGAAATATCATGGCCCCCGCCATGATATCCACCCCCCCCTAGTCATCACCTGACTACCTACCAGACCACCCCAACCCAACCCGAAGACCCGAATTTCGGGTTGGGGGGGGGGTATGGGCTCCATATGTGTTTTTTCAATGTTCCCGGACCCCCCCACACTGGAAATAGAGGGCAAAATGAGGCCTTCGGGTTGGGTTGAGGTGGTTTGGTGGGTGGTGATCACCCCCCTCTTTTCCGCCCCCCCCTTTCGCCCGGCCCGATGTGCCGCCGCAGCCCGATCCTTCGGGCCGAAGCCGGCGAGGCCGGGCAGCTGCTGCACCCAGTGGCCGGGCCCTCCGCCGCTCGCGCCCCGCAGCGCGGCCGCGGCCGCGCACCCCGCGCCCAGCGGCAGGAACGCCGCCTGTCCGGAGGGGCAAGGTTGAAGGGGCCTTGGGACACACAAAATAATACACACAAGTAAAAAGATTCCCAATATTTTGCCATATTTTCTGGGTTTTCGTCTTCCCCCCCACTTCCCATATTTTCCCATATTTTCTGGGGGCTCGACGATTAATTGTGTCTGCGTGTTTTTTTCCCTCCTGATACAGGTCGGGCTGCTGAAGGAAGGAGCGCTACACAAGGAACGAAGCCCCTTTTTGGCCCTGTAAGCGCCTCCGTGCCCCAGGAGGGCAAGAGGAACGGCACTGGAGGAACGAATGTCGAGCCCCCCTTCCGGACCCAAGCGGTTCCTTATCTCGGCGTCCTGACTGTACCACGCGACGCACCCAAACCGTTTGCATCGAGTGACAGGAAGGTTTTGCCAACGCTGGCATGGGCCACGGCAGTGCAGGCGCCGTCACTCGTTGTGTAAGCTACATGGGATGCGCGCGCGCTGGGCGCCTCGCAGGACAGCGACCGAAGGGCGAAGAGTGGGGCCACGGGCAACAAGAACGGGGGCGGGATGGAGGGGCAGGAGGCGGACCTGCGGGGGTCCGAAGACAGCGCGTTAGCAGCAGCGGGGAGGAGGTGGCAGGTGGCAGGGGGAAGAGGACGACGACGAAAGAGGCGGGATGGTGAAGACCAGTTACACGTATATACAGCAGCGCGCTGGACATGCAGTGGTGCCTGCGCCATGCCGCCGTGGCGATCCACGGGAACACCTGCTTACAGCCAATGCAGAAGCGAACGAGACCTAGCTCGCCCGCTCGCTTCTTGGCCCCCTCCCTGCACCCTCCAGCGTGGGAGCTGGCAGGTCGTCCACCGTCGTCGCCATGGAGAGCATCGTGTAGAGATGCAGCCAAACTGCTTTCAGATCCTCGGCGTCCTTGCGCCCGGCGTCGAGAATGACTCCGCGGTGCATGGCCCAGCCCTGGCAGGCCGTGGACGTCAGGACTTCGGAGTGGGAGATGATCTGGCTGGCGCGCATGACCTTATGCTTGCGGAAGGCTGGGGTCGAACCCTGCGAGCTTCATGCCGCAGGGGCCGGCATTGTACTTATCCGTGTGCACGCAGATGCCGTGCGGCACGTACCGCAGGTAAGTAGGACGTTGCTCGGCCTTCGTTGCCTCCACCCCGTCCTCGTCCTTCGGGTTGACGGCCACGCGCACGACCTCGCCGTCGGCGTCCTTGACGAGCTCCCTGTCGCGGCCTAAATGCTCCAGCAGGCGCACGCGCATGCTTGCGTGAAGAGGTGGCATCCCATGCATGCCGCCCTTGACGCCCGGGTTGGCCTGGTTCGAGCTTCGCGGCCAAGTCGACGGGCAGCGCGGGCGAGTACGAGCCACTTGCCTGGACGAGGCAGAGCACCCGCCCGAAAGACTCGGCGTCCCTCCTCGCGCGCATTATCATCCACCGAACCACGGTGTCCCCAAACCAGACGATCATTCGCCCTGTCCAGAACCGCTCCTCGCCCAGCCGCCTGTCGTTGGGCTTCATGTGGATGCGGTGCCAGGCCCCCGTGATCTTCTGAGGGGCCTTGCCTTCTTCGGCTTGCGCATCAAGCCCATGAGATCGGCAAAGCTGGGGCCCTTGAAGCGGTTGCTGGCCTGGGGCTCGAAGCGCAGGGCGTTGTCGCAGAAAAATGAAGGGGCCCCAGGACACACAAATAGATACACACGAATAAAAGGACTCCCCATATCTTCTGGGGTTTTGTCTTCCCCCTCACTTCCCATATTTTCCAATATTTTCCTGGGGATCGACGATTGATAGTGTCTGTGTTTTCCCCTCCTGAAAAAACTTCATGGCCCTCTCCGGCCTCTCCTTCCGACGATCGGCGGCCGCCAACATCTGCAGGTCGGACAGCAGTGGCATGCCAGAGCAGGCTGGGCGTCGGCTGCAGGCAACCTGCGACATCATGGTATACACTTCTCAATTTGCGCGTGTCATCCTTGCGCAGGGGAGATGCCAATCTTCCCTGTATCGTTCCAATGTTAATGGATGATCCCCGAAGGGAATCCAGGAGGCAACCTGCGACACAGATCACGATTGGGGACGGGCCCGAAGGCGCCGAAGGGCTTCAGGTGGTTCGCCTCCCGCAGGTTGCGCTGATGACGCCTGGCGTGGAGCGCGCGACAGCCCAGCATGTTGGAGAGGTTCGGAGAGACCATGCTGACCCCGTCGACGACGAAAAGCAGCAGGTCCGACCAGACCTTCTGCAGCCGTGCCAGGACAGCGGCCGCGGGCAGGATCGCAGGGCTGCGGTGCTCCCCGACGCCCACCGGAGCCCCGCTGTGGCACGTGGTCGCCCTGTGGTGCTCCTCGGAGGTGACGTCGGCCTGGGACCACTTCGGCGTCGACCGCGATGCGCTCGGCGCTCGCACCCTCCACGCGGCGGCGTGTGCTGGGCTCAGCCTGCTGGGCCGCTGGAGGAGAAGGAGGAGGAAGAGGAGGAGGAGGAGGAGGAGGAGGAGGAGGAACGGGAGGGGAAGGAGGGAGGAGGAGGAGGAATGGGAGGGGAAGGAGGAGGAGGAGGCTCATTAACAGCATGTGGAAGGTCTGCCGGCGCTCCCGCGGCTTCTCGTCTCTCGTCCTACCCACACGGCATTGCAGGCTTGCGCAGCCTTCGCCAGGAGCAACAGCGTATGGTCTCCTTCAGCGTGCGGAGAACTCGCTTTCCGGTGGTCGGGCCGACAGTCGCATCGCACAGCTCCTTCCTCCTTTCCTCCTCCTCCTCCTCCTCCTCCTCCCCCTCCTCCTCCTCACCGTCGTAGTCGTCTGACGCCACTCCGCTGGACCCACTAGCAACCCTCAAAAGTGGCGATAGTTTCACAAATCGCGGCCACACAAAAATGGCGAGGATTAGTTTAAATTCGCGTGGGACATCACTCCGCTGACCCCCAGCCCTCGCGAGTTACGACAGTTTTCAGATCGCAGCCCCCAAAGGATGGCGCGGTCAAGCTTGGGTCCGCGTAGGGCGTCCCTCCGCCGGGCCACCAAGCAGCCCTCGAAACTGGCGACAATTTCTCAGAACGCAGCCCTCCAGGGAAGGCGAGGTCTACAGTAGGTCCGCGTGGGAAGTCGCTCCTCTTGACCCCCCCGGGCAGCCCTTGAAAGTGGCGACAGTTTCGCAGGTCACAGCCCCCTAGGGATGGCTAGGTCTACTTTACGTCCGCGTAGGGCGTCAATCCGCAGGACCCTCCAGCAACCCTCAAAAATGGCGACAGTTTCGAGGTCCCCATCTACCCGGCGATGGCGAGGTCTAATTGAAGTCCGCGTGGGGCGTCACTCTGCTGGACCACCCAGCAGCCCTTGAACGTGGCAACAGTTTCGCAGATCACAGCCCCCTAGGGATGGCTAAGTCTACTTTACGTCCGCGTAGGGCGTCAATACGCAGGACCCTCCAGCAGCCCTCAAAAATGGCGACAGTTTCTCAGATCGCAGCCTCCCAGGGATGGCGCGGTTCGTTTAGGTCCGCGTAGGGCGTCACTCCGCTGGACCCCCCAGCAGCCCTCGAAAGTGGCGACGGGTTCGCAGATCGCAGCCACCCAAGGGATGGTGAGGTCCACATGAGGTCCGCAGGTCCACATGAGGTCCGCGTGGGGCGTCACTGCGCGGGGCCACCCAGCAGCCCTCGAAGTTGGCTATGGTTCCGCAGATCGCAGCCCACCAGGGATGGCGAGTACCCATCGGTCGGAAGGAGTAGGTCGAGCCATGAAGCAGGAAGGCGTTGGAAGCAGATTGGGTCTCCGCCCGCCTCCTTGAGGAGGAGGAAGAGGGAAAGCCACTCGATGACTGAAGTATGAGGGCGAAGTGTACTGGGATCTGGGAATCCAGAGATGCATACTTGCAATGACCGAGGGGCAGGCAGGGTAGAAGGCAAGCAGGAGGCAGGGCAGAAGGCAGGCAGCGGCAGGGCAGGCAGGCAGGGAAGAGGCGCAAAGAGAGAGGAATAATGCGGGATGACGATTAATAAAACAAATGGGAGAGAACGATTTAAAACATAGTTTTCTGTTATTTCTGCACATTTTTCTGACTGGAGGAGAACGATTAAAACATAGTTGTCCAGCCCGCGGCCGGTTTTTTCTAATCGTCATCTTGGGCGCCGCCGCGTGAACACCACCCCCGGTCATTTATTAATCGTCATCCTCCATTAAGGGAGGAGGGAGGAGAAGGTCGCGACCGCGGTGCTCTAATCAAATCTGTGCCCATCGAGAACTCAACGCAGGAGGGCTGGGAACAAGCGCAAACATCGAAGACGCGGATTTTCCGGGAAGGTGCGTGCAAATCTAGAGACAACGAAAGGAAAGACGACGACCCAGGAACTGCGCGCAGACGTGGGGAAGGACCTGTGCCGACGTCTATTCGTGCTCCCGTGGGGCCCCTTTGGCCTCGTCCTCGCCCAGGGGCGCGGCCGCCAGGGCGCCGAGGACCTTGGCGCACGTCGCCCCCGGGTCCTGCAAGTCCGCCGCCGAGACCAGCGCCAGCGCCGCACGCCCGGCCCCCGGCGGCGCCTGCAGCGCACGATGAGCAAGGGCGTGCCTGCGGGGGCACAGGGGCCGTGAGCAGCGCGTGCAGGCGAACGGTACGGTGGGCAGATAGACAAGAGGTCTTGCTGCACGGTGCTCGTCCTGTTTCCCTGCGTAGAGTTTGGAGCATGTTAGGCTAAGAAGATGGCCTCCACCCCAAGCGCTTTCTGAAACAGCAGTCCAGGTCCAGAGATATGGCAACTCTGCGATACACAGGGCTCCCAGAGGAAATCCCAGGGCCCAGTCCAGATTCCTGATGTTCTTAAGCGAGATCTGGAGCCCATGAAAGTTTGCGCGTTTTTTTTTCAGATGGCTGATGGGTGTAGGGGAGGAGGGGGACGAGGAGGAGGAGGAGGCGGAGGAGGACGAGGACGAGGACGAGGACGAGGAGGAGGAGGAGCGCCACACGAGTTAACGGAAGGGGCTTTTGTCTGGCCACGTCGAGCTTCGGCCACGAAGGGGCTCCAACCGACAGGGTCAGGAACGGCCCGAAAACGGGAACCCCTCCGGAGCCCAAAGTCAGCGCCGATCAGAAGCGAGTCTTACGCGAGATGACACGGCGACCTTCCGCGGCGGCTTACGCGGGCCACCAGCGCGGCACGCCACACTGAAGACGAGGGCGCCTACGCGCGAGCTCACGGGGGCAGCTTACGCGACAATGTCGGCGCAGACGACCCCGATTTTTTTCTGCGCCGCCCAAGTGGTCCTTGCCTCAGCGTTGACTTTGAAAAAATCTAGGGGCACGCCGATCGACGATCTCTGAGCCAGGGCTCGAGTTGAACAGTGTTTTTATCGTTTTCGTTACAGTGAGGGTCTTGACCCAAGGAACCCTAAATAAGGGAACGAGGCCCCTATTTTCCATAAGATAACTTCGATTTCCCATCGAAAACCGAAGGAAAACCTGAGGCAAGCTGCGAAACACTTAAGGAACGCGGAGCCCCTCCCCAACGAAAAGGGTTCCTTCTTCAGGGCCCCGACTGTATGTTCCTGTTCTCCTTCGCTCCGTCGTCGCTCTGCGCTCTTGCTGCGAAGCGAAGTCAGGACGGAAACGGTCCACGACATCGCAGCACACCGCTCAGCTCGAGCCCCTCCTGAACCCAAAGCGGCCCTCGTTTCGGCGTCGTGACGTTGGTCGACGTAGGTCGGGCATGTCCTCCTACAGGCTGATTTGTGACTCCTCCTCCTCCTCCTCCTTCTCCTTCTCCTCCTCCTCCTCATCCTCCTCCTGCTCCTCCTCCTCCTCCTCCTCCGCTTCCTCCCCCCACTCCTAGCCCTTTCGATCAGGGTCGGCGGCACCGGCCGTCAGGCCTCTCCAATAAAAATAGTCAAAACACACGACAAAAGTTAATCGAATAATAGACTAATCATCCCCAGAGTATGTTTTAACTATTTTTGAATATTCCTCCTGTGGAGGGACATGCCCGACTTCATCAGAGGGTGCGAAAAGGCTTCCACGGGTCCCCGGGGCCTTCGGGGGAGGAACACAAGGGCGTGCCCTCGGGGCACCAGGGCCGTGCTCAGCGCGCCCGAGCGAAGACAGGACGAATCGGGCAGGGGCGAGGAACATATACTCTTGTAGTGGACATGATTGGCCACGTCCGGGAACCCTGGACCCAAAAACGTTTCCACTCCTCGGGCCGAGGGGGCACATCTTGTACTTCCGCCGCCTTCTGCCGCGGAAGAGATGACAACTCCTTCGATCCTTGAAGGCAGGGTCACCTCTGGAACGCCCCCACTGGTTTTCGTAACGCTTGGCCCTGAGAACCTCCCGACCAGCCACAATTGGGGGAGCTGTGGTCCTTACCCCCCTGGGGGAGCCCATCGCATCGACGATCTCTCGAGCGGGGTGTCGACATCGAGAGGCCCCCCAGGGGGGTAAGGTTAAGTCGGGCCTGTCCCCCTACAGAGGCATTTTCGACGAAAGATGAAACATACCACCACAAACAATCAAACAATAATCCAAACATAGTCTGGGGAGTATTTGTTTGACCCCTGTGGGGTATTTTCGGTGTATTTGTCATCTTTCGCCGAAGGTCCCCCTGTAGGGGGACACGCCCGACATACGGGTAAGGCCCGCAGCTCCCCCCGTTGTGGCTGGCCGGAACCTCTGCGTGGGCGGCGCCCCCCCTGCCGATGCGCATATATGCCCTCTGCTGCAGACCTGAATAGGGAAGGAGGCCTTCTTTGAGGGGAAAACGAACCTACCTCGCTTTTGACCACCCTCGCTTCCAAGAGATACCAAACGATGCCAAATTGCAGACTGTACTGGTCAGGCCGCTTGACGAGGAGGCGCGTGGTATGGCTTGGTTTTGCCTGGAAGCGAAAGCGGGGTAGGTAATTCACGCTCTGATTCTTATTCTCCCAGAAATTAATAAGCTTCGGTTTTCCTCAGTCGGCTTCCCACAGAAAGCCTGAGGAAAACCTATAGGGGAGCGAATCATGACGTAAACATAAGAACTCGGAGGTCCGCGCGGACCGTCGAGTTTTTATGTTTATGCCACTGTTCGTTACAAGCTGTAAGACAATTCAAGAACACTGAGCCCCCCAAACGAGAAGGGCTCCTTCTTCCGCGGCCCGACGGTATAGCAACCATATAGGTTGTGTGGGCAATCCGACGGGGAAGCCGCCGGGGAGCGTTCCTTCGCAGCAGGCTAGGACTAGGACTCCGCTCACACAGACGCTCACGGATGGAAGTGCCAGGAACGGAGATGCACGTGCGGGGAACTCCGCGTCGAATGCAGGGGAACGAACACTGACATAAACACAATAACTCGGAGGTCTGGGGCCCCCTGGCGGCGCCTCCGGCGCAGCCCCGGGTGCGCTCCGCGCGCCGGGGAGGGGGGTCCAGCGCCAATCCGAGAAATCCGCGCGGACCCTCGAGCTTTTATGTGTATGCTTTCTTGTTTCCCCCCGGTGTGGGGATCTCCGCGTCAAGGAGCACTCCTCCTCGAGAATCGTCGGCGCCGGCGTCGTAAGCGTCGGCGTCGTGGCCGCATGGCCTCGGCCTTGGACCTCGATCTTCGGCCTGGGGTCAAGAGCGGCCCCCAGACATGTGCCAGTGCGTTCTGCATCGAACGGCGAGGCGGATCCAGCCTTGGCGACGAGAGCCCCGCAAGAGGCCCAGAAAAAATGACAAACGTGCAGGTGATCGTCGCCGTCGCCGTCGTGATCATAGTCGTCGCCGTCGCCGTCACCGTCGCCGTCGTGATTGTGATCGTGATCGTCGCCGTCGCCGTCGTGATCGTGATCGCCGTCGGACGTGGCCGTCGCCGTCGAGATCGACGGCGCCGCCGCGAGGGCTGCCGGCGCTTCCATTGCGTCCACGCGCAGCCCTCTGGAGGTCCGGGCCGCTTCCCTGCGGCTCGTCGCCCCGAGGCGTTTCCTGGCGGCCCCGGGGGCCTGGCGAGGGCCCCCGGAGGCCAGAAGCGGCCAAAACAGAACAAACAAACACGTCATGAACCTAAACTTTTTGGCGCTTCGCGCGGATTTCGTAGATCCGCGCGTGCACCCCCCTCCCTGGCGCGCGGAGCGCGCCAGGGAGGGCGGTGGAGGCGCCGCCAGGGGCGCCCCAGCGCAGATCCAAAAAATCCGCGCGGAGCGCCAAACGTTTAGGCTTATGGCGCTTTTCTTCTTCGAGGCAAAAGATCGGCGGCTCCAACTTTTGCCGGGGCCCCGGCTCTCTGGGCAACGACCCCGCGGCAGGAGCTCTCGCGGCTGCCGCTGCCCCTCGCCCTGGCGGCCGCGCGCGACGAGAACCCCCCCCTCCAGGCCCAGAAAAAAGCGCAGAACGTCCACGTGATCGTCGTCGTGGCCGTCGCCGTCGTCATCGTCCTCGTCGTGGCCGTCGCCGTCGCGATCGTCCTCGTCGCGGCCGTCGCCGTTGCGATCGCCCTCGTCGTGCCGGCTACACGAAAGAGCGACCCTGGGCGAGAGTGGCCTTTGGCGTGCGGTTCTCGGGGGCCACGAAGGGGGCAACATTTGGGCGCGCTGGTCGGAGCTGCGGGGGCCCCTGTGAACCCGCGCCAACAATCGCTGCGGCGAAGGGTCACCCTTACGCGCAGTCGATTGTGGCCGTCGAGGAGGAGGAGGAGGAGGAGGCGAAGGTGGAGGAAGAGGTGGAGAAGGAGGAGGAGGCGGATGAGGAGGAGGAGGAGGAGGAGGAGGAGGAGGAGGAGGAGGAGGAAAGTGTTCGCCCCTATCGGAGCGGACGCCTCTAAATATTGACCTCTCCCAAGCTTTCGCACGAGAAGCGTTTCGGTCGGCATCGATGGGTGAGAAGGGAGGAGCCGACCAAACTCTCAAGCTCGCGACTCGTTATGTCACTGGCCACGTAGTTCACTCGAGCGGGTGGATTGGGCGAACAAGGGATGGACGCGTAGAAACTTCAAGAAGAAGCCTGCGCTGGGGCAGTGGGAGCGGGAGAGTTTCTTTTCATAGCAACAAGTTGTATGATGAGGAAAATGTTCGCCCCAATCGGGGCGGACACCCCTGAATATTCAACTCTCCAGAAAAGCTTTCACACGAGTGGCGTGTCGGTCGGCATCGTTGGGTGAGAAGGGAGGAGCCGACCAGGCTCGCAAGCTCGCGACTCGTTATGTCACCGCCCATCGTGGCGATCGCGATCACTCACCCATCGCGGCGATCTTTCTGCCGCGTGCTTGAGGGGAAGAAGGAGGACGGGCGAAGGAGGTCGAAGCAGGGCAGAAAGAGGAAAGAAACACCGCGGGAAGAGGGGGGAAGCAGAGCAATCGCAGAGGCACTCGCGCTTTTTGGAATCAGAATCTGGATGCTCCGCGACTAACGTGGAGATGGCGGATTCTTCGGCTTGGTTCTCCCTCAGCGTACGCCGCGCTCCCCCAGTCTCCCGCTTTCAGGAGAGCCGCCAAAGAACCCCTGCGTCAAGGATGTCTCTGGTCATCCCTCGCCTCAGCGCGTGGCTGCCGAACCTCCCTTGCCCCGGCGAACCTATGGCCGCCACGCGCCGCCCGAGGTCCTGGACAGGGGCGGTTGGAG